TTTTTTTAAAATTTCAAAACTATCCTTTATATTTTAAAATATCCAACACCCCCACCTCTTTTCTTCAACGGATGTCAACGGATGTCAACATCCGTTGAAGAAAAAATTCTTCAACAGATGTGCCACATCCGTTGAGTTTCTTTTTTTTTAATTTTTAGTTTTTTAATTTATTGTATTTTAAATTAATATATAAATATTATTTAATTTTTTAAAAATTATTAATTATTTATTTATAAATTAATTTTATTTTATTAAATAAAATAATTATTATTAATTTAATTTGTGTATTATTATTTAAATAATAATTAAAATATTTTTTATAAATATATTAAAACGTATGTGGCAACGTTGCATTTCTCTCCGTTCCTTTTCTACCCTTGCGTTAATCTTAAACGTAAAAAAAATTTTAAGATATGATATGCTTTGAAGGACAAACTGATGTTGACTTCCGATTGAAGGACAAACAGATGTTGACATCCGATTGAAGGACAAACGTATGTTGACATCCGTTTAAGCCCCCAAACCGAATGAAACAATTGAGAAAAATATAAACCAAAATTCCAGGCTTGTCACGTGTGAACTCATAGCCCCAACAGGCGGGCGTTCTCAGTTACCACCAGTACTATCACCTGCCTCTCCGCCACCTCCTCCATTTTTGGCGTGATACCACCAACCACCACCACCTAGCGCGGTTGTCCCGCCGGTGCACCATGGGCATCCGCCATATGTGGCTCAGCATCAACAACAAGCGGTGTTCGGTTCTTACGGTGCTCCTCAACCCTCCACAAAAGAGGTTTGCACCCTCTTCAATCGCTGGCCTTCCAGAAGATGTAAGCCCTGCAGATCTACAATCTTTTTCGCGAATTCCCCTGCTACGAGTCTTCACATCTCTGGAGTCTCAGCAATTTGTCTCAGGTTGATTTCAATTTTAATTTCTTGGGTATCTTTATTATGAATTTAATGAATCGTTTTCACTGATGGTGGCTTTCATGTCTTGGCAGCCTTTTTGCTTTTATTGTTTCACCAGTCAGCAGTCAACAATCATAACAATGCATGCTCTGAATGTCTTATCATAATATTAATTTTTTGTTACTTGTTTTGCAGGCATGGTGTTTGATCTTGGCTAAAAAAAAGTAAATAAATATAGTTAAGTAAAAAAGGGTACTTTTGAATTTAAAAAAAAATTGGGGTTTGGAAGGTGTAAAAAGGATTTGGTGGTGGTGGGGGAGCATCTGCCTACTCACACAGTCTACCATACAATACGGGCAGGCCCATTTAAAAAGCCCAGTTGTCTTTTAACTGAAAAAAAAAATTAAGTACTCAGTTCTTTTTTTTCTACTTAGGAAGAACGAAAGAAAATTCAGAATCTGAGTTCCTTCTTCAAACCCACCCTAACATTACAACAAAAAAACTGATGTATCGATTTTTCCTCTTGCAATTCGCCATGGCCCGTGGGTCTTCCTCCTTATCTCTCCTTGCATCAAAACCTGCGTTTCCATTCATGCGCTATGCACCTCGCCGCTTAACTCAAAAACGACGGTACTCTTCGAATCTCTCCTCTTTTCACATTTCATCGTTGTTGAAAGAAAACGGATCTAACTCATATTTCGTTTTGGTTCTCGATGAGGAAATTGGAAAATTTGTAGGATTCTGACATTCGTAATTTGACAGCGTATTTTGGATGTGTGGATGGGTAGAGATTAGAGACCGTGTTGACTGTTTTCGAACGGAAAATAATATTATGGAAAAGGGAATGTTCAATTTTTGTCCTGACTTGCGTTGTTTGGTTTGTGCGAAATTGGTGAATGAAGCTGTTACTTTGTTATGGAGTTCACTTTGGTGGAGTTTTTAATCATGCCTTAGAAGTTTTCGTCAGTTTTAGGTCCACATTGTGTTTTTTGTGTGTGATAATAGCATGAGATACGATGTTGGATTTGTACACGAGTGCTTTGCTCGTGGTTTCGTATTGTATGCCTAACAAAGGTTTTGGAAAACGGTTTTTGACCCCGTGATTTTGGCAACCATATTGTTTTTAAGTCTTGCAACCATATTTGCGGCCATATTTGTCTGTAACTTTTGGAAAAATCAATGATCCGAACGAAAATTCAAGAGTCACTGTAATTTAAAACCTGGTGCGGAACTTGGACCGGTCTTTTTCCATAGCTGTTTGTAGAATCTCATTTTTCTTATGTCTGGAGGAGTTATTTTTTGTAATGCCAAGAGAGATAGACTCATTTCTATTATTCTTATATGGAGGAGTGAAAATTTAAGCTTCCATTGTTGTGGAAAAATGACTGAGCCCTTCTTTTTAAAGATTTTGACGAGGTCTTCAAGCTATTAGAGATGATGATGATCTTGCGTTCTTCATGTTGAATAACTTCAGACCATATATGTTTTTCTCATTATGATTATTTTTTTGTTGGATGCCTACATTTAAGGGGATTTACTTCAGTTTTTTTAGTACTTATTTCCTTTCTTGGTTTGAAATATGGGTGGTGGCCGTAAGTGACTGATTACTTGTTTATTTGAATTTTCTTGACATTTAGCGTCTGGTTCTCTTGTAACTGCAGGACATGTTAGGGGATTTTCAAGTTCAAATTTTGATTGGAGGAGGCTTCAAAGTAGCCAGAATGTGAATGCAGAGGGGAATGCTCGTCCAGACATGCAGAATTTAGAAAACCGAAAACCCAGAAACTGGAATAATGGGAACCAGAATGTGAATGCAGATCCCGCTTATTCCAAATTTTATGCAAAATAGAGAGAACGTGAATAGCATAATGTGGAATAATCTGGGCCAGAATGTGAATGCAGGGGGGAATGCTCGTCCAGACATGCAGAATTTAGAAAACCTAAAACCCAGAAACTGGAATAATGGGAACCAGAATGTGAATGCAGATGCCAACGCTTATTCCAAATTTTATGCAAAATAGAGAGAAACGTGAATAGCATAATGTGGAATAATCTGGGCCAGAATGTGAAAGCAAATGCAGACGCCCCTCCCGATTTTATGCAAGATAAAGAGAACATAAACCTCGAAAGCAAGAATGATGTTGGGACTGGCTGGAATTCTAGGCCAATGGACTTTGTAAGAGGAATTTTAGATGCAGATGATTTTAGGAGAGGTGGTTCCTTTCAGTATCAGTATGAGCAGGATGCTGATCATGTTCATATAAAGATGTTACGTAATAATACCTTTGTTGACTGTACAGATTCTAAAGGAAATGTAAAACTTAGTGGCTCTGCTGGTTCATTGAAAGACCTGAAATCGGGGCAAAGCTTTCTAGGTAATTGGCCGCCGAGGCAACTGCGGAAGTTTGTGGGCCGGAGGTTAGGGCTTTGGGATTGAAATCTGTGGTCATGAAAGTGAATGGATTTACCCATTTTAGAAGAAAAAGGCAAGCGATACTGAGCTGGAAGGAGGGCTTTACTTCTGATTCTCGAGGCGGTAGAAATCCAATTGTATTCATTGAAGATACCACTAGAAAACCCCATAATGGCTGCAGATTACCAAAGAAACGACGTATTTAGGTGTTTGGTATTGAGGTGGGTGGAGAAACATTATTTTACTTGGATAGAGACACTTTAGGTGCTGTTTTGGGCACATGATGATACTGTCTTGACCACATTACTTGTAGACTATCCGTCTCCTTCCTCCTGTACAATTTTGAAGATTAAATAATCAGAACTTTCTGTAACAGTATTTAATACTGTATTGTTGATTTCAGTCACTGTCGACCATCCTTTTATAAATTGAATGAATATGAAAGTCACGATTATTAATGTTCTGGCGTTTATAAAAAATTCTTGATTTCTATACAAGGGATCATTGCTTTGTAGCATGGGTTGTAGATTTGTATTTCGCACCGTTGATTGAACAGTTTGAAGAGCTATTAATGGGTATCATGATGTTCTTGGATCTGAAGTCTTGTAGAAGGCAAGATTTGGCAGAGTGACACACACCCCCTAATAAAATCTTTAAAGTTTGTTTTGCTGTTGATAAATGAATCGACTGATATTTTACATGTTAACTATAAATTACTCATTCTCAATTAGTTGAAATGAATTAATTAGTTTCATTGTTAGATTCTCTAATAAGGTCATTGATAAAAATATTATAGGTATAATGCACTATAAATAAAGGCTTTCCTTCTAGCTCAAGGACTATATATTTTGGATAAATACAATCTTTTAAGAAATTGCTTTCACATGATTGTATACTGTCACTCGCAGCTGAAGATAAAAACGAAACTGACACTCGCAGCCGACTTCAACAAAATTATTGCAAAGATACAAATCAAAATAGACTTTAAAAGGAATCTTCACAACATAAGCCACGTTCGATCATCATAATTTTACTTCTTCAAAAGAAGAGGTCCAACATTATCACCAGTGGCTTTGTTATGCTTAACATGGCTTCCATCACATAGAGGAAAAGTCCCTGATCTCCAACATCTGCACCAAAGCACTCAGTAAGATGAAGATTTTTGGGATGTAAACACCATGTAAAATTAACACAACTTTTAGTATTAGTAACAAAGCACAATATAGAGGCTTGTTTCTGTACACATGAGTTTGAACTGGACTACGTCTTTCTAATGTAAGAATGATATTTTATAATTTGATATGTAAGAAAAGGTCTATTCAGCAGTTGGAGAATCGTATCCTGTTTTGTGTCATTCTATTCTGAAGCCACAGTTGTTGCTTAAAAAAGCCATATGAATATTCAGTGAATGATCTCTGTTTTTCTTTCATGCTGTCAGCAAGGAAACGTATATTTCATATCAGGTATGATCAATATTTCTCTGGTATCGTATATTGCTACCGTGTGGAGTTTTTTTGTGAAAAGAATTCAAAGCGAAATTGAATAAGATATAAGGTAATAGGATAGAAGGAAGAGGAAATGAGAGGACAGTTAGGAGGGAAGAGTTGTTTGACAATTAGTTAGTGGGAAGGGGAAGAGAGAATTTATAATTAGGGTGTGTGTTATATACAGGGGGCATTATGGATTTTTGTATTCATTTGAGTATAGACAGGAACATTTGTCTCGTGGAGGGATTAGGCTCCCGTATAGTGTTGTATGTGTACTTTGTTGAATAGAAATATAGAAACTCATTCTTTTTACAGTTTGATTCTTGATTTTTACAGTTTGATTCTTGATTGTGAGTGTGTGAGTGATTGTTTTAGATAGGTTTTTCATACCCAGAAACGTTCTCAGAATCATCACCATTTTACATTTTGCCTGATAGAGCACAGTTTTAAACAACAAATCGTAGAAATTAGAAAATAATCCATTCACATGCATCACACTCTATTTTCATCATCTGAATAATAATAATTAATATGCCATAACGGGAGCTAGGTCGAGTGTTGGTGGGCTCTGGCAGGCTCCTGGGGTGTAGTGCCCTTTTTCTATTGTCTTTCTTGATCCTTTCTGCTTAACCAAAAATGGCGCAGAAAAGTATGATACAATGTTAGAACTAACCAGAAAGCAAGAGCTTCATAAAGTGAAGCTTACCTGCAATAAGCAGTGACGGGCTTAGAGAGTTCAGTGACCACAACAGAATCCACCACCTTCTCTTCACTCTTCCTGATATCAGGGTTTATACCCACAGCCTCAGCTTTCACCAACACCACAACGCCCTTGGTTGCCACCACCCAACACCAAAAGAACAACCCTTGAAATGGTTACTAACAACCCCTTTTGGGGTAATCCCATTGCTGAACTTACACCAACCTGGCTTAGAACAGACTCCATTCAAAAGGGTCTCTCTTTCTCTTTCTCTCTTTCTGTGTTTATCAGTTTATTTTCCTTTCCTTGGCTTCACAACTATCTTGCGATGTAACCCTAGTGGATGAGATAAGAGAAAGAGGATCGAATCTGGTGACACGTGTTCCTGAACTTGTGGACGCCACACTCCTGTGTTCTAGAACACGTAGCATTTGATGGACACAAATACACATATTCTTGTCACACTTCTTTTCTTGTGAAGAAAAATCATGAATGAACATGTGACCACTCAACCCATAGAGAAACAAAAAACAAAAGTGACATTGTTAAATTACCAAAACAGTAAAATAGGTAGTTAACGAAGGAAGACAAGAATTAAATGTCCTAATCGTTAGTCATAAATTGCATCAAATGCCACCGAGCAATACGTAGCCTCAACAGAAAAATAACACTGCAAGTGCTGAACAATGCCATTGTGACATTTGAACTTACTTTTCTTGTGAGATTTCAAAATCTGTGTATGAAATCATTAGAACTTAAGAACTTAACAATAAACATACATTGATAAAGTAAAAATAGTGGTTAAATTCTTTCATCTTGTATTGGGTTACTACTGTTTTGCTATGACTTTTAGGCCAATTTGAAGTGGAACATTGTCAATATTATCGGCAAATCCTTGATTTTGAAGTTTAATATTTAGTTCACGTTGAATATTATGCTATTATGTAATAATTCATAATCTAGAGATGTAATAATTAATAATAATAATAATAGTGGCACACTGCATTTCTTCCAAAGGCAACAGGCCACCACATTAGTTGCACCACCACCAAATAAAATGGACTCAACTACCACCAATCTTTTTTAAAAAACACAAACGTAAAGTTTCTTCTGCCTAACTAAACTAAACTTGGCTGAAAAAGTGAGGGGAAGAAAATACGAAAGCAACCAAAAAAATAAAAAATAAAACATATTTTTAAGGTTTTAGCTCAAAATAATAAAATTACGAACCCCTGAAAATTAAAACTTTTTCATATTATATCATTATAAAACATAATGTAAGACACTGTAAAACACTAATACTTATTTTAATGTGGTGTGCACAATCAATGTTTATTTGTCTTGTGTACTGTCCAACACCACACGTATCTACAAATATCATAACATTTTAGATATTTATTCCGCGTAAAGATTAATGAAATTACGTATCCAAACCCGCAATTACAGGAAAACGAGCAGTCAAGTTGGCATTGGACGCATTCACAATAACAATCAATACAACCACGAGTAATCAAACCTGGAAACTAACGGAAGTGTATCAAGCTCTGTCTGATAAACAAGAAAAACTTTTTCCCACCTTCTGCATTCCATTTCAGCTTTCCTTCCATTTCCTTCTCTTTGTGGCCCTACTTCTCGCGCTCGAAACCCTTTTTTTTTTTTTCTGGCCCCAACCCGACCGACAGTTTTTCGCCACACCAGGTAACGACAATGACTCGACGGCGACTCTCGGCCCGAAGGACGGCGGGCTTTTGGCTCTGGTGCTGCGTTATGTGCCCCGGTCGGCGATATGCTGGCCTAAAGGGTTTGCTGCAGCGAGGCCAGATCGGACAAGGAAACGCGCGAGAGGTTTTCTAACGAAACATAGCCAATTTGCGTCACCCTGAATCCAACAACACCTTGGGCCAAAAGATGTTGAGCTTTCGCGTTCTCGAGAAGGAGTTTTCTTCTGAGAATGAACCACCAGAAGGTTTGTTTTTGCATTTCTAGCACGTCCCCTGGGCTACTTCCCTCCCCATCTCCTCACTCATACACGTGCGGTAACACCATTTTCGAAACAAAATTAATTTTGGCGTGTAAGTATTTAAAAGTTTCCGTTTTCTTTTTTTAATTTGTATGGTTTCGTTGTTGGGGAGGAAGTACCTCGGTGTTTGTGTTAAGAGGACAGAACATGCTACTTCTTGCGGAGAGCGTCTTAAAGACAAATACGGTAACTGTAGTGTATGTGTATCTTATTATAGGCTTGGAAAAAGATGCAACCTGTGCCCAGAGGAGCAAAGTTGTGGGATGAATACACGAGATGATTCTTTGTTATTAATCGTGAAATTGTCACAATAGACTTTGTTCATAAAAAGCATCGCTAGTCCCTGCTAATTCTTGACCTATGTGTTATGGAAGTGAGGATCACATCTACAGTGCGCAGGATATTTCAGAGGGTGGTGTGGATGGTGCCATTCTCATTTGTCAGGGGAAGGTGATGCTTTTCGTGCTTTAACCACAAGTGAGAAGGTTCTAGGTTTTCTTTATTCTGGTGGACTTGGGTCCCCCAGGGGATTTTGAGGTAGTCTGGTGGTAAGCGTTAAACTGAGGCGTGTTATCTTGTCTGGTTGTCTAGGGTTGGTTGGAATGCAATTTGGGATTGGCAAGTGTACTTGGGTATTTTGCTCGATCGGCTGGATAGTCTGGTTCGCTAGCTGGGTAGTTGTAAAGTAGTGAACGGGTTGCTAGAAGTAAATATGGAGCATTATAACCTTCTAGGTAGATTATGGTTGACGGGGTTCTAGGCTTGGAGCTTCTTATGGAAGAGGTGAGTGAGCATGTGCAGTGGAGATTGGTGTGGAGGGGGATTTACTCAGACAATTCACCTCCTTCTCGATCTTCACCGTTCTGGCATTTCTGGGCTGGGTGTTTGTATTCTTTTCATCGTGAGATTATAAGTAGGTGGGGTAAAGTGAAACTGCATATCAACTGGTTTGCTTTCCCTCTTGTTCTTTGTTGCCCAATGATGGTGGAGTGATGGGGTGTTATAATTCTCGCTGTTGCACAATGAGTACTTATAGCATCTATATATTCTGAATCGATGACAAGGTTTGAAGGAAAACAGTATTGTTCTATGTTTGTGAAATTAGCAGTAAATCATGGTGTGGGGGTTGAACTGTTCTTGTCAAGAGATGTGTTTGGGTTTCATGTTGAGAGATGCATAAAAAATCTCATTTTCCCCCTCAGTACCTCATGCTTAGTCTAAAGCTAAAACCTTGTTTGAAAAAAATAAAAAATGGATGCTTCTTGTACATTAAAATGTTTTTATTGGGTGCATTAGTACTGGTATGGAATTGATAAGATCTGCATTTATTCTTATAAGCTTTAACACTGCATAACAATTGCTATACTGCTACAATTTATCTGTCTTTTTTGTGGTTTTATTATGGATGTCAGCATGGATGATTTGTTATTGATTAAATATAGTGTAAATGATGCTGTATTGTAATTTATTTTTCAGATTTTGCTTGTGAAATGAAATACTAGATTCAGCTGTCACAAATCAATTTATAGATCTGAAGCTCATTGAGTTTTTTTAGTAGGTTGTCTGCTATTCTCACTGTTTTTTTCATCTTTAACAGAATCTGACAAAAGCAGCTTCAATAGCAGTGTAGCAGATCAGCAGGTAGGTCCTATACTCTTGGTCTCAATAGTTGTGTTGAATTGGATTATTCAGCTGATAACAAGTTGATGTTTCATTGTGTGTGTATAAAATGAGTAGGACTAAATGTACATCAAATTCAGTTTCAAACATTGCTTGAGAAGTTACATGACATGAGTCTATATATCTGTTATCCCACTCTTCTTTTTAATGTAAAGATGAGTTTTGAGCATCTGGTCTTCTTTTTGCAGGCTGTATTGGAGACTGTAGCTAAAATTACTCATGAGAAATCAAAGAGAAATGATACACATGAGGGAAAGTATGGTCTTGTCCAATGTAGTTTCTCAGTTGCATCTTATAATGAATTATTAGATGTAATCATGTAATCCCGATTGCATACACAATGACACATTATCTTTTTTAAATGATCATTTACTGTAGTGCTACGAGAGCATTTCAGTTTCAGGATGTGTTCTCACTGGAAAATGAAGATTCCGATGATGTGACAACTTTGATCGATAAAAAGGTGTGCTAAAAGGCCTTACTCCTCTGGTGTTCTTCAATATGATGTTAAACTACCTTTATTTTTGTTTCAACCTCCTTACTTGTTTATGCTATTGCATGACAGGACAATGTCTTCGTCATGTCTAACAAGAAATCCAAATATCCTGTGCTTCAAGTGGATTTGAGGTGGATATGTTATGACTTTTATCCTTGCAATTACTGCTCAGGGAATTCTTTATCAGCTTGATTGACTAATCTAAGAATAGGATTGTGTTAAGAAATTGCTTTAAGTCTAGACTAAATGTTCTGTATCTGGGCTGATTTATGTTCATAATTCAGCACTTCTGGATTATGGAATGTGTTATTTTATTGATGTATTAGTGTTAAGAGCGAAGCTGTGTTCATTGGAAGGTATAATTGTGAAAATGTCAGATGATTCTTCCTGCAATACCCCTTTTTGTTCTTTTCTCTTTCTTCATGTGAAAAAGTAATTGGGTTTAGGTTTTTTTTTCTTGCGCAAGGCTTTTTCACCAAATACTTTCAAGTTATTTTTGTGTGCTCAAAATACAGTTGCCAGGTATCAATGGCTTTTAGAGTGAAGGATAACTTACTTTCCAATGAGTATCCAATTTTTTTTCAACAAGATTATAGTTATGAAGTTTTTATAATATTAGATTGTGATCCTTTGTGTTTTGTAGTTCTTGAAATTTGTGGTTTCGTCAGTTTGTTCTATTATGAGACTTTGTCAACCTTTGAACAACTGCACGCTTATGCAGGCTAATATCAGATTTGGTGGTTGTAATAGTTTCAGCAGCTATTGCTGGGATTGTCTTTTCTTGTTTGGGACAACCGGTATGTGATTGTTACTATTTCTCGTTGTGACATTTAATGTCCTTTATGCAGTAGATGATTTTCATATTTAAATTATATTTTGGGGATATTAAGTAATTTATTTGACTGGAAATCTTTCTACAATGTTGGATTTCATGTATTTTTCTTAAAACATGTAGGTTATCGTGGGCTATCTTCTTGCAGGCTCACTTATTGGACCTGGCGGTTTGAAATTTATTAGTGAAATGGTGCAGGTGTGTTGTTCTAAGTGACTCAATACCATTCTTACTGGGAAAAACTCAAGTTCGACATATATTAGAAATAGTGTCAAAGTAGGGGTGGCAACTCTTCATTTACATGCAGGTTTTATGAGATTGAGTTCATTTAAATCCAAATTTCAAGATGGTGTTGGATGGGAGGAAGTGTATTAAAAAACACTTGTCTCATTGACTAAAGATAAATTCAAAGTAGAGTATATAAGTGGGGGGACAACTCTCACCTAACAAGCCAATTTTGTGAAGTTAATTTAGGCTTAAATCTAAATTCTAAGGGTTCTTGGGCAAATGTTGAGTTTCCAATCTGATCAATCTTTATAAAACTTGTGCCTCACTTATTGTAGTGGTGGTTAAAAATCACTTTTGCGTGTACAATCTTGACCTTCAGATCTAGGTTTCTTCATATGTGCACATATCATGATCATCATAAGTTTCCACTACATTAACTTGAAACATCAACTTAAGCTGTTAATTGTTTTTATGCTTTTACTCAGTCATTTTGCACCTGATATCCTTATTTTTCTTGTCACTTTTATGCAGGTTGAGACTGTTGCACAATTTGGTGTAGTGTTTCTTCTCTTTGCTTTGGGGCTGGAATTTTCCTTGGCAAAGGTTTGTTATTCTTGTCTTGCAAAAACTTCTTTCTCACTTTTATCTAATTTCTTGCTATAACTCTATTCTTACTAAATCTCAAACCATATTTTAAGTTTGTAAAGAAATGTATTATTATCCCTTCTAAGGTTTTTTATTTGGGCTTGTGTATTACTAAAGCTTTTCTGTTTCCATTTTCTTATTTTAAACTTTTTATGCATGAAGTTAAAAGCTGTGGGGGCTGTTGCTGTTCTTGGAGGACTACTTCAAATTGTCATTTTTATGTTCATGTGTGGCATTCTTTCCATGGTATGGTGCTGACTTGTCTGATTTTTTCTTCAATGGAATTAAGGATTTACAAGTTTTTTTCAATAAATATTATTGTTCATTTGGTTTGCAGTTATTTGGAGCCTCATTGTCTGAGGGTGTTTTTGTGGGTTCCTTTCTGTCCATGTCATCAACAGCAGTAGTATGTTTTTACACCATTTCCCAGAAACATACTGTAAATATTTTGTTATCAGTGGTTTCTAGTTGATTCTAAGCATGGTTCGCTATTTTTTTTTTTTACCTATTTCCAGGTGGTGAAGTTTTTGGTGGAGCGAAATAGTAGTAATGCTCTTCATGTTCAAATTACAATTGGGACTCTTATTTTTCAGGTATCTTTCTAGTTGGTGTTTTAAATGTTAAGCTCGTTAGCTTTTCATAAAGTAATATGCTCTTAAGTTAGACTTATATTGCATATCAATCTTTCCTCTACCACTTGTTATATATCAGGATTGTGCAGTGGGTTTACTATTTGCTTTGCTCCCAGTTTTGGGTGGTAACAGTGGCCTTTTGCAAGGAATAATGTCAATGGGGAGACTGTAAGTCTTTCCATCTACACTTTCTCACTCTGATTTCACTGTTCTTTTTCATAAACTCCCTTTTTGCTTAGTGATCACTAACAACTTCAGTCAGTGCAAGCCAATTGGACTGCGTAGTGTTGCTAAATCTACACCTTTCTACTTTAATATATACTGCATGCAATTACCTTCCTGAAGTTGTTATCCAAATTAATGTAAGCAAGCTCCAAGATCTTACAATTTAGGAATATGGCTTGTAGTCATTTTTTGAGCTTAAATTACATGAATATTACCAAGATATATTGGAATTTGTCTTCTAAACTAGATAAAACATAACAACGGGAGACCATAGTTTGTGGTTGAACTGTAACTTTTCTGTGGGTAGACTTCTGGAAACAGAGTGCTGGTATGATGCATCATGATTTTTTATTTTTGTAAAGAGAGTGACCACAAAAATTCAGTTTTATTGAAATATAGGTTTTCTTTCTGGGGAGGTGCAATTGACCTTAAATTCAGCATACCGTCATCGGGATAGGATCTAATTATCTAACCACTTTGAATTTCAGGCTGCTAGTGTTGTCTTTGTACATCACTGCTACATCCATATTGTCATGGTCATTTGTTCCTCGGTTTCTTAAACTTATGATGCGGCTANTAAATGTTAAGCTCGTTAGCTTTTCATAAAGTAATATGCTCTTAAGTTAGACTTATATTGCATATCAATCTTTCCTCTACCACTTGTTATATATCAGGATTGTGCAGTGGGTTTACTATTTGCTTTGCTCCCAGTTTTGGGTGGTAACAGTGGCCTTTTGCAAGGAATAATGTCAATGGGGAGACTGTAAGTCTTTCCATCTACACTTTCTCACTCTGATTTCACTGTTCTTTTTCATAAACTCCCTTTTTGCTTAGTGATCACTAACAACTTCAGTCAGTGCAAGCCAATTGGACTGCGTAGTGTTGCTAAATCTACACCTTTCTACTTTAATATATACTGCATGCAATTACCTTCCTGAAGTTGTTATCCAAATTAATGTAAGCAAGCTCCAAGATCTTACAATTTAGGAATATGGCTTGTAGTCATTTTTTGAGCTTTACATGAATATTACCAAGATATATTGGAATTTGTCTTCTAAACTAGATAAAACATAACAACGGGAGACCATAGTTTGTGGTTGAACTGTAACTTTTCTGTGGGTAGACTTCTGGAAACAGAGTGCTGGTATGATGCATCATTATTTTTTATTTTTGTAAAGAGAGTGACCACAAAAATTCAGTTTTATTGAAATATAGGTTTTCTTTCTGGGGAGGTGCAATTGACCTTAAATTCAGCATACCGTCATCGGGATAGGATCTAATTATCTAACCACTTTGAATTTCAGGCTGCTAGTGTTGTCTTTGTACATCACTGCTACATCCATATTGTCATGGTCATTTGTTCCTCGGTTTCTTAAACTTATGATGCGGCTATCATCTCAGGTTAGGCTATAACATTTTTATTTGCTATTGCCTTGCTAGCACTATTAGCAACTCATGAATTATTTTTCTGCTCTCCAGACTAATGAACTTTATCAGCTTGCTGCTGTTGCTTTCTGCTTGTTATCTGCATGGGTAAGAAAAACAAATGCTGATTGCTGTTACTGATTCCTTATCATTTTGTTGCTTCTTTTATCCATAAGTTGTGCACTCTTTTTGAAACAGATGTATGCTAGACTGCAATGCCATGCATGTTATTTTTGGAATGAAGAATATTTTTTATGCATGTACGGATTCCTGGATGGGGGTCCAGGCTTCCTTCTTAAAAAAGGGATTTAGACCCATTATGCAGCCTATTAGTTAAACATTAGCAATGATGATTTACATTTTGCTAAATTTTTATAATATCTTTCCAGTGCAGTGATAAGCTAGGCCTTAGTCTTGAGCTGGGTTCATTTATGGCTGGTGTTATGATTTCCACAACAGACTTCGGTCAACATACTTTGGACCAGGTACTACTCATGCTGATAACTTCTGACTTGTGTCAGACTTATTTTGCTTTGCATACATGAAGTACTTTCTAATAATTATTCATATTCTTTAGTCTTAGATACGTTTATCTTTGGATCACTTGGGCTGCACTTCACATAGTCTATTATTGTATCATCTTTTGTCTTGCAAATACCATGTGTTACAAGGATTGGTTTTTTCTATTATCCCAATTTTGGAACACTGGGCATGCCTCTTCCAAAATGTTTTGGGATGTTTCTTTTCTCCCACACTTCTAGGTGCTCAGTTTCACTTTTGTGTTTTTTTGTACTCAGCTCATGTTATTTTTAAGGGAGCTGATATCTTTAATATGTGACACATCAGGCAGCCTTATTGCTTTTGTACTTTGTTTTCCCCACCCTTTGTATATAGACTTTGAAAGATTCTTTTTAACCTCCTAGTTGTACTTCTTTTTCTCACTTTTCTGTTTCCTATGAAAATACATACAAATGATGTATTTGGGGATAATTTATTGCTTTTGAATTATGAACTATTCTCAGTTATTTATTAAATTAGAAGTTCTCTTTTGTAGGTGGAACCAATTCGTAACCTATTTGCAGCTCTCTTTCTCTCGAGTATTGGAATGCTTATACACGTGCAATTCCTTTGGAACCATGTGGATATCCTGCTGGCATCTGTTATTCTGGTTGTAGTCGTTAAAACTGCTGTTGTTGCTATAGTCACCAAGGCCTTTGGTTATAGCCTTAAGACGGCATTTATTGTAAGTCAATAAGTCAGCTTGTTGGATGATATATTGATTAACTATAGACAGTTTCTTATGTCACGTTGAATGGCTGTTTAGGTTGGTATCTCGCTTGCCCAAATAGGTGAATTTGCTTTTGTCCTCCTGAGTCGTGCTTCAAATCTTCACCTTGTTGAGGTTTTTGCTCTCTCTCTCTCTCTCCCCCCTCCTTAGTGGTATTGTTTGACAATAATGTCAGATGATTTTCCCACCCCTTCTGTGAGAAATTTTGAACTGAACAGATGTTAGCTATTGACCTTGCACGTATGGAGACATAGTATGTTACATCTGATCTACAATGTTAATTATGAAACAAATAAAGATGAATGGGCATGGATACGGCATTCTGATTTTTGACAATAGTTAAAATGTTTTAGAATTTGAGTGAAGAAGCCTCCGACTTTGGAAATGAACATCCTACGTCGGAACCATAGAAGAGGGATCCAAATAAATGGGAAAACGTTGGGTCAAGTCAAGGTGTGGAGTTAACCCATGATTTCTTGTTATTGTTCAATGGAGACATTTTTCATCTAGTGGCGTATCATTAAAGAATGTATCCTGGACTTTTTTATGTACCTTGCCAATTTGCAAAGGATAGTTTCCAATTAGTGAGTTAGTTCATGGAATAAGTAAGCAGACAAGCAAAGGTTTGGTGTAATCTAAATGTCAAACCTAAAATGCAACTACAGAAAAATGGGGGAAACGTAAATGATGGTTTTCTGTTTGCTAAGTAGATAGATAATGCAAGGAACATCAACATAAAGAGTAGGGATGGCAAATGAACCTGTCTCTTCGGGTATTATCTGAACTTGTACCAATTTTGATAGAGAATCCCCTTATTGATTGGCTATGGGTATGGGTAATACTCAATTTTTTAAATTAGGTATGGGGAGGGGATGGATTATGTACATATATACCCGTCCGCATACCCGTTTCCATACTAGTCCATGTTTTAAATTACTAAAACACTTTTAATTTATTAGGTTGTTTAAAAAAGAAAACCTTATATGAACTCTTTTTTAGTCAATTTCGTAACTTATTTTTAAGGCACACATTTGATATTTTTATTTTATGTTTTTACTTTTTGTAAAAGAATTATTTAATTAATATTTAAAATAGTTTAGGGTCGAGGACAAGTGCAGGGATGGGTATACCCGTGCTCCATCAATAGAGATGGAGATGGGTCAAAAATCTCATACCTGTTGACTATGGTATAATTTTTTACTGTGAAGATGGAAATGGGACTGTCAATCCTACACCTGCCATGCCTCATTGTCGTCCCTAATAAAGAGGGTTTGTCATTGGTGTACTTCTCTCAATGGCTGCAAATAGAAATAAAATCTGCTGGTTTTAAAAATAATGGATTTCACGTGGGAAAGAGAGGAGTAAACTATATATTGTGTGATATGTAAGTGCTAGTAACACACTCTTGACATTATCTTTTCAACACACTTAAAATGTATATTGAAAATGGAGTGCTGCCTACTAAATAATTAACAGAACTCTCATTTTCNACTTTTATCCTTGCAATTACTGCTCAGGGAATTCTTTATCAGCTTGATTGACTAATCTAAGAATAGGATTGTGTTAAGAAATTGCTTTAAGTCTAGACTAAATGTTCTGTATCTGGGCTGATTTATGTTCATAATTCAGCACTTCTGGATTATGGAATGTGTTATTTTAATGATGTATTAGTGTTAAGAGCGAAGCTGTGTTCATTGGAAGGTATAATTGTGAAAATGTCAGATGAATCTTCCTGCAATACCCCTTTTTGTTCTTTTCTCTTTCTTCATGTGAAAAAGTAATTGGGTTTAGGTTTTTTTTTCTTGCGCAAGGCTTTTTCACCAAATACTTTCAAGTTATTTTTGTGTGCTCAAAATACAGTTGCCAGGTATCAATGGCTTTTAGAGTGAAGGATAACTTACTTTCCAATGAGTATCCAATTTTTTTTCAACAAGATTATAGTTATGAAGTTTTTATAATATTAGATTGTGATCCTTTGTGTTTTGTAGTTCTTGAAATTTGTGGTTTCGTCAGTTTGTTCTATTATGAGACTTTGTCAACCTTTGAACAACTGCACGCTTATGCAGGCTAATATCAGATTTGGTGGTTGTAATAGTTTCAGCAGCTATTGCTGGGATTGTCTTTTCTTGTTTGGGACAACCGGTATGTGATTGTTACTATTTCTCGTTGTGACATTTAATGTCCTTTATGCAGTAGATGATTTTCATATTTAAATTATATTTTGGGGATATTAAGTAATTTATTTGACTGGAAATCTTTCTACAATGTTGGATTTCATGTATTTTTCTTAAAACATGTAGGTTATCGTGGGCTATCTTCTTGCAGGCTCACTTATTGGACCTGGCGGTTTGAAATTTATTAGTGAAATGGTGCAGGTGTGTTGTTCTAAGTGACTCAATACCATTCTTACTGGGAAAAACTCAAGTTCGACATATATTAGAAATAGTGTCAAAGTAGGGGTGGCAACTCTTCATTTACATGCAGGTTTTATGAGATTGAGTTCATTTAAATCCAAATTTCAAGATGGTGTTGGATGGGAGGAAGTGTATTAAAAAACACTTGTCTCATTGACTAAAGATAAATTCAAAGTAGAGTATATAAGTGGGGGGACAACTCTCACCTAACAAGCCAATTTTGTGAAGTTAATTTAGGCTTAAATCTAAATTCTAAGGGTTCTTGGGCAAATGTTGAGTTTCCAATCTGATCAATCTTTATAAAACTTGTGCCTCACTTATTGTAGTGGTGGTTAAAAATCACTTTTGCAGTGTACAATCTTGACCTTCAGATCTAGGTTTCTTCATATGTGCACATATCATGATCATCATAAGTTTCCACTACATTAACTTGAAACATCAACTTAAGCTGTTAATTGTTTTTATGCTTTTACTCAGTCATTTTGCACCTGATATCCTTATTTTTCTTGTCACTTTTATGCAGGTTGAGACTGTTGCACAATTTGGTGTAGTGTTTCTTCTCTTTGCTTTGGGGCTGGAATTTTCCTTGGCAAAGGTTTGTTATTCTTGTCTTGCAAAAACTTCTTTCTCACTTTTATCTAATTTCTTGCTATAACTCTATTCTTACTAAATCTCAAACCATATTTTAAGTTTGTAAAGAAATGTATTATTATCCCTTCTAAGGTTTTTTATTTGGGCTTGTGTATTACTAAAGCTTTTCTGTTTCCATTTTCTTATTTTAAACTTTTTATGCATGAAGTTAAAAGCTGTGGGGGCTGTTGCTGTTCTTGGAGGACTACTTCAAATTGTCATTTTTATGTTCATGTGTGGCATTCTTTCCATGGTATGGTGCTGACTTGTCTGATTTTTTCTTCAATGGAATTAAGGATTTACAAGTTTTTTTCAATAAATATTATTGTGCATTTGGTTTGCAGTTATTTGGAGCCTCATTGTCTGAGGGTGTTTTTGTGGGTTCCTTTCTGTCCATGTCATCAACAGCAGTAGTATGTTTTTACACCATTTCCCAGAAACATACTGTAAATATTTTGTTATCAGTGGTTTCTAGTTGATTCTAAGCATGGTTCGCTATTTTTTTTTTTACCTATTTCCAGGTGGTGAAGTTTTTGGTGGAGCGAAATAGTAGTAATGCTCTTCATGTTCAAATTACAATTGGGACTCTTATTTTTCAGGTATCTTTCTAGTTGGTGTTTTAAATGTTAAGCTCGTTAGCTTTTCATAAAGTAATATGCTCTTAAGTTAGACTTATATTGCATATCAATCTTTCCTCTACCACTTGTTATATATCAGGATTGTGCAGTGGGTTTACTATTTGCTTTGCTCCCAGTTTTGGGTGGTAACAGTGGCCTTTTGCAAGGAATAATGTCAATGGGGAGACTGTAAGTCTTTCCATCTACACTTTCTCACTCTGATTTCACTGTTCTTTTTCATAAACTCCCTTTTTGCTTAGTGATCACTAACAACTTCAGTCAGTGCAAGCCAATTGGACTGCGTAGTGTTGCTAAATCTACACCTTTCTACTTTAATATATACTGCATGCAATTACCTTCCTGAAGTTGTTATCCAAATTAATGTAAGCAAGCTCCAAGATCTTACAATTTAGGAATATGGCTTGTAGTCATTTTTTGAGCTTAAATTACATGAATATTACCAAGATATATTGGAATTTGTCTTCTAAACTAGATAAAACATAACAACGGGAGACCATAGTTTGTGGTTGAACTGTAACTTTTCTGTGGGTAGACTTCTGGAAACAGAGTGCTGGTATGATGCATCATGATTTTTTATTTTTGTAAAGAGAGTGACCACAAAAATTCAGTTTTATTGAAATATAGGTTTTCTTTCTGGGGAGGTGCAATTGACCTTAAATTCAGCATACCGTCATCGGGATAGGATCTAATTATCTAACCACTTTGAATTTCAGGCTGCTAGTGTTGTCTTTGTACATCACTGCTACATCCATATTGTCATGGTCATTTGTTCCTCGGTTTCTTAAACTTATGATGCGGCTATCATCTCAGGTTAGGCTATAACATTTTTATTTGCTATTGCCTTGCTAGCACTATTAGCAACTCATGAATTATTTTTCTGCTCTCCAGACTAATGAACTTTATCAGCTTGCTGCTGTTGCTTTCTGCTTGTTATCTGCATGGGTAAGAAAAACAAATGCTGATTGCTGTTACTGATTCCTTATCATTTTGTTGCTTCTTTTATCCATAAGTTGTGCACTCTTTTTGAAACAGATGTATGCTAGACTGCAATGCCATGCATGTTATTTTTGGAATGAAGAATATTTTTTATGCATGTACGGATTCCTGGATGGGGGTCCAGGCTTCCTTCTTAAAAAAGGGATTTAGACCCATTATGCAGCCTATTAGTTAAACATTAGCAATGATGATGTACATTTTGCTAAATTTTTATAATATCTTTCCAGTGCAGTGATAAGCTAGGCCTTAGTCTTGAGCTGGGTTCATTTATGGCTGGTGTTATGATTTCCACAACAGACTTCGGTCAACATACTTTGGACCAGGTACTACTCATGCTGATAACTTCTGACTTGTGTCAGACTTATTTTGCTTTGCATACATGAAGTACTTTCTAATAATTATTCATATTCTTTAGTCTTAGATACGTTTATCTTTGGATCACTTGGGCTGCACTTCACATAGTCTATTATTGTATCATCTTTTGTCTTGCAAATACCATGTGTTACAAGGATTGGTTTTTTCTATTATCCCAATTTTGGAACACTGGGCATGCCTCTTCCAAAATGTTTTGGGATGTTTCTTTTCTCCCACACTTCTAGGTGCTCAGTTTCACTTTTGTGTTTTTTTGTACTCAGCTCATGTTATTTTTAAGGGAGCTGATATCTTTAATATGTGACACATCAGGCAGCCTTATTGCTTTTGTACTTTGTTTTCCCCACCCTTTGTATATAGACTTTGAAAGATTCGTTTTAACCTCCTAGTTGTACTTCTTTTTCTCACTTTTCTGTTTCCTATGAAAATACATACAAATGATGTATTTGGGGATAATTTACTGCTTTTGAATTATGAACTATTCTCAGTTATTGATTAAATTAGAAGTTCTCTTTTGTAGGTGGAACCAATTCGTAACCTATTTGCAGCTCTCTTTCTCTCGAGTATTGGAATGCTTATACACGTGCAATTCCTTTGGAACCATGTGGATATCCTGCTGGCATCTGTTATTCTGGTTGTAGTCGTTAAAACTGCTGTTGTTGCTATAGTCACCAAGGCCTTTGGTTATAGCCTTAAGACGGCATTTATTGTAAGTCAATAAGTCAGCTTGTTGGATGATATATTGATTAACTATAGACAGTTTCTTATGTCACGTTGAATGGCTGTTTAGGTTGGTATCTCGCTTGCCCAAATAGGTGAATTTGCTTTTGTCCTCCTGAGTCGTGCTTCAAATCTTCACCTTGTTGAGGTTTTTGCTCTCTCTCTCTCTCTCCCCCCTCTTTAGTGGTATTGTTTGACAATAATGTCAGATGATTTTCCCACCCCTTCTGTGAGAAATTTTGAACTGAACAGATGTTAGCTATTGACCTTGCACGTATGGAGACATAGTATGTTACATCTGATCTACAATGTTAATTATGAAACAAATAAAGATGAATGGGCATGGATACGGCATTCTGATTTTTGACAATAGTTAAAATGTTTTAGAATTTGAGTGAAGAAGCCTCCGACTTTGGAAATGAACATCCTACGTCGGAACCATAGAAGAGGGATCCAAATAAATGGGAAAACGTTGGGTCAAGTCAAGGTGTGGAGTTAACCCATGATTTCTTGTTATTGTTCAATGGAGACATTTTTCATCTAGTGGCGTATCATTAAAGAATGTATCCTGGACTTTTTTATGTACCTTGCCAATTTGCAAAGGATAGTTTCCAATTAGTGAGTTAGTTCATGGAATAAGTAAGCAGACAAGCAAAGGTTTGGTGTAATCTAAATGTCAAACCTAAAATGCAACTACAGAAAAATGGGGGAAACGTAAATGATGGTTTTCTGTTTGCTAAGTAGATAGATAATGCAAGGAACATCAACATAAAGAGTAGGGATGGCAAATGAACCTGTCTCTTCGGGTATTATCTGAACTTGTACCAATTTTGATAGAGAATCCCCTTATTGATTGGCTATGGGTATGGGTAATACTCAATTTTTTAAATTAGGTATGGGGAGGGGATGGATTATGTACATATATACCCGTCCGCATACCCGTTTCCATACTAGTCCATGTTTTAAATTACTAAAACACTTTTAATTTATTAGGTTGTTTAAAAAAGAAAACCTTATATGAACTCTTTTTTAGTCAATTTCGTAACTTATTTTTAAGGCACACATTTGATATTTTTATTTTATGTTTTTACTTTTTGTAAAAGAATTATTTAATTAATATTTAAAATAGTTTAGGGTCGAGGACAAGTGCAGGGATGGGTATACCCGTGCTCCATCAATAGAGATGGAGATGGGTCAAAAATCTCATACCTGTTGACTATGGTATAATTTTTTACTGTGAAGATGGAAATGGGACTGTCAATCCTACACCTGCCATGCCTCATTGTCGTCCCTAATAAAGAGGGTTTGTCATTGGTGTACTTCTCTCAATGGCTGCAAATAGAAATAAAATCTGCTGGTTTTAAAAATAATGGATTTCACGTGGGAAAGAGAGGAGTAAACTATATATTGTGTGATATGTAAGTGCTAGTAACACACTCTTGACATTATCTTTTCAACACACTTAAAATGTATATTGAAAATGGAGTGCTGCCTACTAAATAATTAACAGAACTCTCATTTTTTGGAACTTGTTTGGATATCACATCACCCAATAACAAGGTATTAAGAGTATGATTTTAGCATTTCTCTATAGGAAAGTTCGCTATAGTTCCAGTGCATTACGTAAATTGCCTAACACAAATATTCTTTTTGTGGGCCAAAAGTATTAGTGAAATCTCTCCCCAAGGTTCATCCCAAGTTACACTGAAAAAATACCTCGGGTTTTCCACTGTTCTACGATCAACCCAAAAAATTTACAGTTTAATTGAAAAAATTAGTTACACCTCCATGATACCTTTACTTGATTGTTTCCATTGATTTATGTAATTTCCCTCTGTTCTATCCTTATCTCTTGCTGACCACTGATTATAATATTTTAGGGGAAAATGTATCTTCTTCTTCTAGGGACAACGGCTCTCAGTCTGGTAATTTCATTCACCTAGCTGTGTCATACGTTCCTTCCTTTGAATTATTTAAACTTATCGTTGATTAAATACAGGTTACAACTCCACTTTTGTTTAAATTGATACCTGCTGTCATGAATCTCGGTGTTCTCATGCACTGGTTCCCCTCTGAAAGTACAACACAAATTGAGGTGTCTCTCTTTATTTCTCCCTTTTTGATGGCCTCGTATATATGATCAGATAACTGTTTTCTCTCATAAACAAATAGGGTGCTTCAGAAACCTTATTTGCGCTGGTTATAAAAGTGATACTACATTTTGAATTTGCATCGAATCATCACTTTACCATTCATCATTGACTGCAATTTTTTTTAGTGGGTTTATGATTCTAAATCAAATAAAGCTTTTTTGGGGGTCAACATTACTAGTTCAATATGATATTTGTCAATCACAGATCATATCACTAACTTGAAGGGTTAAAATCCTTCTACATATGATTCATAGTTACTTTAAGTTGATTGGGGATGAATGCTTTACTAGATATTTCCTACCATTTGCTTCCTATTGTGTGCTTTCGTGACATAATTTTTTTTCTTCTGAAGGTCACATATTATGCTATTACTTTCAAGACAAACACTCTTTATCGTAACTACTGGCATATTCCTGCTAGATTTTTTTTTCTCTTAGCTTTTTTAGTTCGGTGTTATTCCACTTCAAGAATAAGGCTACACTATTTTCTTGAATGCCATATTTCATCATGATATACATTATCTCTATTTTCTATTAAATTCAGTATCCTTGGCTCCATCTTTACATCAATATTGGAAAACCAAGGATTCTCTGCACGTCCTAAAGATCATAGATGGTATAACAAACAACATGACCTGTCCTTTATTCTTATAATAACAGGGGAAAGTATCTGTGAATGAAGCAAGCAGAATGTTATGAGTCTTCGAGTTTCCATGGCATAGAGTCAATTAGTATATTGGAGGCAATTATCTACTTTTTGGTGGCTAGAGAAAACAGGATTTCCTTACTCTGTTTCTGTTGCAAGTCCATGGTGATCTTCACATGAAACAGTCAGCATATTCAGTTCTTCCATTGATAG